TCTTAGCGAGGTTGAATAGTGTACGACATATTAGCAAGCACGCATTCGGAATGCGTTCTCTGCTTTGAGAAAACTTAAGAGGAATTCCACACATTCCCATAAGAGTCATCTTTACACTTTTTTTCTTTCCCGGCATTCTAAATAACAAGTTGCATTAACGATGCATATATCATCATCATCATCATAATCACGGTCATCATCGTAATGATCATCAGAACGACAGCTTAAAATGCATACGTACTTTCCGCTGGATTCAGTTGCTTACATTTTTCTCCAATGGCTGATTTTTTATTTTGCCTTTGGTCTGTTTCCAACTGTTGCAAGCAATTTTTATGGGAAGTCTGACATTATTTAAGATAATGAAAACCGTCTTCAGTGGCCGTATACACGTGTGTGTGTTTGTACATGGCTGTGTGTATGTATGTTTTGCCTTCCAAGGCTGTTACGACCTGTCATCATCGATTTTATTGCTGTGTTTTACTAAGGCATGTCTGAGATAAGCTTGTAGTAGATGGGTGGCTGCAGAATCGCATGAAATGTACGATTTCGGAAAACGTAGCCAAAAAAGCATGGAGACAAATGACCATCGATTTATTTTCAAAGTTTAATTTTTCCTGACTGGGTGACTTATGCATGTGTCCAGTTTAAAGCCATTATTTTAGTTAAGCCACATCGCAGAGCAAGGTCTTACACTCCCCACTGACTGTGGCAACAAAGAGGCTCAAATGTGCGGGATGCTTTAAAACACAGACATGCACACACATAAACACGGAGGGTGATGCACACATACACAGACACACACTCACATATATAAGCAGTTTTAAAAGGATATATTTTATTCACAAGTGAATGTCCAGTTATGCATTTTCTACATTATATTGTACATATATACACATAATAACGGTTATTTAGAATTATGTGTCAATCCACTGATGGATGAATGCCTCTCCACACTGTTAATCATGGGGGTTGTTTGACCATACTTCACCACGCTGGTCAGTACATGTTGGTGAAAGGGGTAAGGCCCAGGACCAGCTCAGACTTTGCTCACCACTAATTTTTCCCATGACTAGGAATCAAACTCAAGTTATTGGCTTCATCATGCAGTGTGCTCATCACTGTGCCACCATTCACTGCTGTATGTGTAAAGGGCATTTTATTTTAATGTAATAATATGCCAATGTATACGTGTGAGTTAATGCTCGAATTAGATTCCTTCTCGACCAGTCCATGATTTATGGGTAGGCACGATTATCAAGGCACTATATTCAAGGTTTGGAGAGGCAAAATAAAAACAACGCAGCATTCTTAAGCAGATGCCAGAAGGCATGTCAAAATATAGAAAACTAAGCTTTCAGAACTCTTGCCCGTTTTAAACGTGCACAGTTGATTCATTTCGTAACATTTATTGCGAAACTTGCTTGAGACACAATTGTGAAACTTTTAAGAATGCGACAACTCTAGCACTGGATTGTATAATAATGCTCGACCCATTGAGAATCCCTTCAGCAAAACATTTTGTAATAATAGACATGAAATTAAATACTTTGTCAACATTTATTATGAAAGCTCCAAAAAGTTATTGGGTAACATGGCGTTAAATGAAGATATGCAAATTGTATACATTGCATTTCCAAACAATATAATTTCCCCCTCCCACCACCCCTGCATTCTCTTTTGAGGGTTTTTGTGTGACTGTATCTTTGTATTGGCTCTGGTCACAAAGAATCCGGTGCCACACTCAGTGCTGGAAGAGCTGTTCCATGTAAGCCTAGCTCATGTGGATAAGGTGCCATTGTTTTCACTTCAGGTTGCTACGAAGATATAATGATTGAGGCCTTTTGGGTTAGATCGCGTAAATATTAATGTGTCGTTAAACCCGCCACCACCTGACACAGCCAATGAGTAAGGTTTGTCACGTAAACAAAACATGCCACCGGTGTGTTGGAGAGTAACGAATTGCCATGTTTTGTTTATGTGACAAACCTTACTTATTGGCTGTGTCGGGTGGTGGCGGGTTTAATGACACATTTACGTGATCTCACCCAAAACCTCTATAATGGATAATATTGGTTGTGAACGCTTACATGTTAAACTGAAGATAGGATACCATACCAAATATCACACTTTGATGATTATAATGATATTTGTTTCCCACAACCTTGCAATTGTTTTTCACATTTCTATTGTATTCTTTGTGCTCCACTTTACTTCCATTATGAATATAAATTACTTGTAAGATTATCAACTGCAGTTCACTCATCGTAACCCGACTGCCATCGGTCTTTATAATAATTACAACCTGTATTGCATATATGCCAGTTACACGAATAATAATGATATACGCCATTACAATTATTACGTTATATAACCATCGCACATTTTGCCGGTAACATTGATGATTACTTCCAATGGGAAGGAACTGCAGAAAATGTTAGAACTTCGTTAAAAAGACTGGAAAATTGGGCTAAGGATGAATATGAACAAAGCAAAGTTCATTGACAAACTAAAAAATTTATAAAACTGAAAATTATACAAAGACACATGGAGGGATGCATGCTTGGAATGACATAGAGTGATATAAAGAGAAACACATTAATTCGAAAAACATATGCAGGCCAAAGACATTATTGAAACTCTTAAGCAAAGTAAGTGCGCTTAGGAAAGACACATCCCTAAAAGGGATGATGGATGATGGTCAAATGTAATGATGGAGTTGGCAGCCAATGATTGGAACGTGTCTACGAAGTTGCCACTCAGGAGTTTGAGCAATTAAATCAGCGTGTGTGCAGGTGCTAAGTGGATAATGTCATCAAATGATTTTGAGATGTATGCATGTTGATCTTCTTTCGCACCGTACTTTGCCAACCGTGATACTCGGAGGTGCTGGGGAAGGACAATAAACTAAACCAAACGCAGTTCTTAAGAAATGCGTTTGCAATCTAGATTTAAAAGCGTATAGATCCAGTTGCTTCCTAATATCAGAAGGAAGAGCATTCCAGACGGCCACAGAAGCGCATCTGAAAGCGTGCGATGGGCAGCCCAAATCCGCCGCTGCGAGGCATGGAGAGGCCGTCATCCAGCAGTCGATTGCCGTGGCTGTTGATGACGACGCCGATTCATGGAGGCGATCTGCACGACACGGCTATCTGCGCGGTGCGTGAGTGAGACCTCTCAGCGTCGACAAGCGGCGTTTGGCAGTCAGCCTCGAGCGGCGGTGCACATCATGATGCTCGGTGACAAATCAACAAACGGCGAGTGGCCGAGGCGGAGCGGGACGCCGCCACTCTCGACTCTCGGTCTTCCTCGTGCACTGCCGCTAGCAGCGCGATCCATCACGGCAGAGTGAGCCCCTCGTGTCAGTGCCCGACTCCGCTCGCTTGAGTTACAGCGTCGCGCGGCACCAGCCGCGGTAAAGTGACCTAGCGGCATGATTCATCTCTCGTCCTCTTGTGGATGGGATCAGGACCTGGTGGGCTAAACTTTCCGGAATGTTCGTGCCGTAGAAAAGTTGTCCACATGGTGTTGTTCAGAGTGTTTATTCTTTGAAGGAGTAAAAACGGATTATGCCATGCTGCAATGATGAGCACACTGCATTCGCAAGTGACCTCACAAATTGAAACAATGGGTGAGTTTATTAAATGCCTCCCACCTCCGTGTGCCCAGCAGTATAAGTGGGTACACCAAAGTCAACTGGCAGGTCACATGTGGTTGGGTAAAGCGTGGATTCTCACAGGTATTCCACAATGTCTGGCCAGCCTCTATAAGACTTCTCCAGAGCTCCCTCTCTCGTGAAGGCTTTTCCACCAGCAGTGGCATAGGAATTCCAGGGCTGCACCCTTTACGTTAAAGAAACACATATTTTGAAGCATTTATTTTTTTCAGAAGACTAGACTATATCCATAGTAACCAATGTTTTAATTCCTTTACAATTTTTTTGGCATTCTGTTTTATATATTTTTTTTTGTATTGAATTATGTTTTTGCCACAGCATTATCTTCTCTTCGCTGTGAAATAAAGGGGACATTGATCGTGGGTCACGGCCCCACCAGTGAGCTCCAAGGCCTACTCGATGTGTATAGGCCTTGCTTATGGATTTGTTTGCCATCTCGTTCGACTCGTTCAAATGGGCTCGGTGCATCACCTCTGCTTGCCCTGTGCCAATAGAGGAGTCCAAATTTTGCAATGAATGTTTGTAAATAGATTTTAATGAAGCCTGAATAAAACAAGACTATCTGTCATCGAACGAAATTAAGACCAAGAGGAGGGGGGGGGGGGAATGAAAACCACATTGTAGCAACAACCACTGTGCTGTGTGCTACTTTATATGTTTTCATTACAACTTAATAAAATCGTAATCATGTTTGCTTTTCACTGAACATAATCAGTGTGAGGGCCATAATCCAACGATGTTGATGAAAGTTTGGATAATTGTGCATTTAATCGTTTGATTTGTGTTCCTTGCACAATTTTGTTTATAGCAAATTAAAAAGTGTAATTTTTTTTACCAAAAACAACACCTTCAATTGATATCTTGTTTTCACTTTTTTACCAATATTAAGGTGATTTATTACAGCTGTGGCATTAATGTGCAGTAATTACAAAAAAACACTAAATGCGTGCATTCCATTTGTAGTTCCCTTGCATTAGTATTTATTACAACGAATTTAATTCCTTCCAATGTAATTAATGCTGAATGTTATTTCACCTAAATTATCGGCTGCAAGCTTCACCGATTTTCAAGAAAAAAAAGACCCAGTTTAAAGTGCCTTGTCCTAACGGCTCACGTATCGTTCGTGCCAGCCTCCAAACAAAACTCAATTGGCTCGTAGCATAGAAATCACTTTAGTAGAAAATGTAGCGGCGCTTTGACTCTGCCAGCAGCAGTAGCAGCAGCGCGACAACTCCAAAGTTGTTCAACTAAAAGCGACTGAACCACGGCAAAATGAAACGAATGAAAGGGAGAAATGAGACAATAATTGCTTTCTTATTTCGTGCAGAAAACTCCAAGATTCAGGGTCCAAGCCGTAAACACTCCGTATCCAAGAGCCTCAAGTATCTCTTCCAGTCAACCAGCAAGTTTGTCAAGAGTCTGAAAAGGTAAACTACTGTAATTACATCTCTGGAGGCTGAAGCCCAGATATGGGTGTGTGGTTGACTCCGGCTCCGTGCGTGTGATTGTGCACGCTTGATTTTGTCACATTTACACAAGGCTGCCTGTTTCAACCGATGCCCTTGGTCCTTAGCTGATGCAGCCGGATTTATCGGTATGGTCGCTCGTGCTCCAACTGTTATTTTGTTTCACGATTTATTTTTCCCTCTGCCCGTTCCTCACACCCCTTACCGCCCTGTCCCTGCCACTCCTCTCTTCCACCCACAATCCCCCCCACAACCATCCGCATCTACTTAAGATGTTCTGGCAATAGTACGTGGAACAATAATAATAACAACACTTAGTTAAACGCATGCTCATAACGCGTTACCGCTAAACAACCATGGAACTGGACCGTTGCTACTTGGAGAGAAAAAAAAATGTCATGTTTTATGCTGTGATTTGTACTGTTGTGGTTGCTATGGTATTATATCCATCATAGAAACAGCTGACCATACGATCCCAACAGCTGCATTGTCCCTGAATGGATCACCGGAGGTTCACAAGTGTTGCATTCCCAGTGCCACACTCTATCCCAGTGCCTTTCTTTAAGAAAAAAAAACCAGTAGCAAAATGTACAGTTAAATGTGAGACATTCAAACAAAAGTCACGTCTGTGTGCGTGGGCCGCATCCACCAAGAAGACCGAGTGGTGAAGTCAGCGCAGGAACTTGGCGATCGTCGCATTGCAGCTTCGAGGAAATAAAGCGGAAACTTGTGGGAGTTTTTTGTGCAGCAGTGGATAGATCATGGCTGATCATGGGGTCCTGGCAAGGATTAGCAATGGGGGGGGGGGGCGATGATTGTAGAATATAAATATATATATTCCAATTGAGCAATTTGCCGGTAATTTTTCACATTTTGGTCACTTTGAACCATGACGCCAGCACACAAAGTCTTGCTTTTGGCAGTGACCTCATGGGATATTTCACGTCCACTCTGAGGCAGACGGCACGTATTTGTTTGTTTTTTACGGTTAACACACCCGGGGGTATTAATTCAATGACAGCAAAGACAAATGACGATGCGATATGTTAATTTACTGAAGAATGTAAAGTTAATATACATCACAAAGTAAGTGTGCGACGGTTCATGCCCAGACCCGCAGCATCCCGCTGGATTTTAACCATTGAGCTTCTGCAACCAGCGGTGAACACGCTGCAGCTAGGCCGTGCCACTGCCCCCAGTCTATGTTTCGGTGTGCGTGCCTGTATGTTGCACGTAATTAGTTGACTCGACCACTGCAGCCACGTGAGGCACCGCCGTTCACCACGGTATTCATCTTGACAATTCTTTGCATCCTTGGGATTGAGGGACGCGGGATGCTGGGGGCTGGGCATGGATCAATGCACTCCTACTTTGTGATAGATATATATATGTGAACTTTACACCCCTTAAGTAAATTAACGTATTACATCGTCATGCGTCATTAATGTTATTAAATGCGGGCATCATGCGAGAGTGTGCGGTTGCTGCATGGCTGCCTTCGTCCGGCAGCAGCAGCAGCAGCAGCAGGTTAACTACTACTGGACGAAGGCCCTCCCCAAGCTACCGCCGTCTCTTGCGGTTCTGCGATGTGGTTGCCTGACAGCCTGCACACGAGCCGACATCATCGCTGCATCCCTCCTCGGTTGGCATGGCCGTGACTAGAGCCAAATCCTCGGGCATCCGAATTTTCTTGCGGGGCCGCCCGTGTCCTTCTGCCGTGCAGGGGGCTTTACCTCGCCACGGTGTTCTACCAGGGGGAGACCGTCCTCGTCACACACGAAGATCAGATCCCGGTGGTGGAAATCGACGACTCCTACCCCAGCCCGCTCAACCAAGACTTCCTGTGGTTCACCAAAGTGAGTGTCTGTTTTCATATATCAAGGATCTTCGAATTTATACTGCTGGGTGGGCAGAGGCAGTGGGGCGGGGAGGATTTGAGAAACTTTGTCCATTTATGTTTTATCTGCCACACCAGGAGATTGAACTGGTAACATAAGTATTGCAAGTCCAGTGTGCTAACCGTTACACCACGTCCCTCTTTACACGTGTACACACATTTTGTATCTAGATGCTGAATATGAGTCAAGTTGTATTTGAAGCTTCATGATTAAATAAATATACCTTAACCAATCCGGGAAATCCATGCTAAAACGTATGATTTTCTTTTTGTTATGGAAAGACCTGCAATGAGATTTACTGGCTGGTTATTATGCATATAAACTGTTTATATGTCATATATAACAGATTTTTAGTTTTTACGGTGGTGTATGTTAATTGTACAAAAAAAACCATGAAGAGTGTGTGGCTTTGTTTTGTTATATACTGGGCATCACTCATGGCAGGCACACTGGGTCCTCGCAAAACAATATCAGCCCTCCAAAGCACAGAATGAAGTGTGCCCTCCCAATGAACGATCCGGTTGGAGACTTGAGCATTCCGGAGCTGCTGTCACACACACACAAAGGTGGCAAAGAAACCTCAAGGGCACTTCTCAAGAAAACTGACGAGCAACAACAAAACCCACCGGGCAATTACCAGGAACCGATAAAATACAGATTATTCTGGTTTCTGTCGCGGTGGTGATTCATTCATTTGGAGTCCCTGTGTGATTGCTAAATGCTTCCGTTTAATTGGCTGCATGCCCCATTCGTAGAACCCCACGGTCCTCTTTTCAGTAAAATGTGAAAATTAGGTCGTCGTGACTTAGGAGCGAAAAAAAAATTGCTGGTGGGGGGGGGGGGGAGGGGAATTATTTTCTTTTTGAACCGTGCCTTCACGGTGGTCTCAGATGGGATTGATTTAGTTCAGTTGAAGGCTGAATCAGTGAGATGTTTTATTCTAAGTCTGTACTTGCAGCCATGCCAAAAACTCTTTCAGGCTTTAATCATATTGCTTTGAAGTGATCTGAGCTTGGGTCTCGCCTGCCTCTCACTGGCGATTGCTTTCCACTCCAATGCTGCACAGTGGCTCACCCAGAGATCATTAAACAGGAAAATGCAGAGTACCTTCCCACCCACCAACCCTCAACCCCCCTCCCCACCCACTTCCCCCTCTCCCTCCCCACATCCTTCAATTCTCAAGCAGTCACTGTCAATATCAGCCCGAGAATGTCTGCTCAAGCCTGAGGAGGTTTTGGAGTGGCCCACTTGACGAAATGGTGTGACTAGCTAGATGTATAGCTGATGATAAAAAAGGCAAAAAGATGCAGCCCTGCATTTGCTTTGTGCATTACACTGCTGGCGAAAGGGCCTCCGCTAGAGGGAGCTTTACAGAGCCCCTTTAGAGATAGAGCCCCTCTGGAGGGTATTTTGACCATATCTTCCACACTGGCCAAATGTGTTTTTGTTAAATTTCTCTTTACCGTGTCACATACCACTTGCCACTCGCCTTACTGTGCCACCCAATTGTGCAGCTGGGCGGAACAAAAGCAGTGGGGTTTAAGAAACTCGTCCATTGTTGAGAGATCAAACCAGCGACGTCTGGATAGCAAGTCCAGTGTGATAACCGCTATACCAGTGCAGCATACCACTTGTGTACATGTGGACGCAGTAAAATATTCGTTTTTACTTCCAGCAGCTTGGGATGCTGTGAAGGGAGTGCCGGTGGTCAGGATGTGTTCCTGCGATGTTTTCAGAGCAATCGGGAGGGGGGGGGGCGTCTGCTACCCATAGAGGGCTCTGTGTGTTAGAGAGTCGTTAAGCCATCTGTGCCATCTGCTTCCAAGCATTTAAAGAGCCCCTTAAACACTTAGTAATAGTCGAACATCATGTGCCATTGGCATGGTCAAAATGATCACTAAACACTGTCATGGAAGACATCTCTATAATTATAACAGTAGCTTTTAGTTAGTGAATGGGTGTTAGCATTCCAATGGGAGTACCCACATTTTTTATTCAGCATTTACGGTATGCTCCCGGGGTGGACAGTGACGAGCAGATTTCATAAACTTGACAATTGTCAAGTAGGGAGATTGATCCGGCAACCTCTAGATTGTAAGTCCACTGTGCTAACCACGTGGTAGAACGTTGTAGTATGTGGGCTTAATATCGGTGCCATTGGAACCATATTGGGAGACACGTTAGGAAAGGTACAGAGTAGTGCATTGTGCATTTGATTGCAATACCAATACAAATTTTTAAACGATGCCACATACCAGTATGCGATGTATGTATGTTGAACTGTTGTCGCACCTTACGTAGGCAACCATGCTAATCAGAGTTGCAGGGGAAGGACAACAAAGTAAACACAAAAGGCAGTTCTAAAGAAATTAGTTTTAAATCGAGATTTAAAAGTGCACGCCTCCAATGGCTTCCTAACATCGGACGGTGGAGCGTTCCTGACTGCTGCAGAAGCGCGTCTGAAGCCGGGCGATGGTTGACCGTCTTTGTTCAATGATTAGCCAAAAGCCGCTGCTGCGAGGATGACCGGAGTGTGCGTGGTGGTTTATAATGAGATCGGCAAGGTATTGTGGATCAGTACTAGATCTCGTACATATAAATGTATCGTTAAATCCGCCACCACCCGACACAGCCAATTAGTTAGGTTTTTTTCACGTAGTTCAGCACACCGGTGTGTTGGAGAGTAAACCCACGACAATTACAATTCTAATATGACGTTTCACCGGTAATTACAACTAGCCTCATCAGGCGACAGCCAGATTTGTGGAGAAATCCACCGGTGTGTTGAACGGTCAATCCACAAATAGTAAATGTCGTGGATTTACTCTCCAACACACTGGTGTGCTGAAGTAGTCACTAATTGGCACGCATTCCTTACGTGACAAACCTTACTGACTGTGTCGCGTGGTGGAGGGTTACGACACATTTATACTTACGCGATCAAACCCCAAAAAACCCCTCTATTATGGGTAATACTGCTCTTGAAAGCCTGCGTGTTAAACGAACTATCGTGGTTCAAGCAAAAGGTGTCGTGGTGGCGATGGGGCGCGGGGGCTTTTGCGGCGGCGTTTAATCGGTCGGTCGGTTACGAAAGCAAGCCGCGGTCGTTGCAGCTGTCCTGCATGTGGGAGGAGGTGCGGGGTCTGCGGCACGGCGCCAACACCCTCTACTCGGCGTCCTCCGCCCTGCAGTCTCGCCAGAGGATACTCCTGGCGATCTCGCAGATGCAGGTGACGTTGGAGCACCGTCGTTCATTTCATCTCCGCCGCTGTTTAACGTTGAGGGCGTTTACGGTGTCGGCTTTGTCCGTTCGCCCTCTGCCACTGTAACAGTCAGGGGTGGGGGTGCGAGTGGGGGTGGGGGAGGCGACCACGAAAACTCTCGTCGTGATGAACCAAACGTTACTGGACATCTGTGAGCTTCACAGCTCGGCGGATCTCTCCAGAGTAAATAAAGATTCTGATTCAGTAGGAACGAAACGCGTCTAATTGTGTTGCAAGCAAGGAGTTACCCGATTAAAAACCGGCTAAGTTAATCGATGGGTTACCCGAAATTTGTAGACACAAACCAGGGCAAAAAGGATGAAACTTTTTATTTGGACTCTTGTCCAGCATGAAAAATGCGGTTTTTGTCCCCTAGCTTCAGCACCGATGATCAAAAAACCGCCGGAGGCAAACGTGGCGCTTTGAAAAGCGTTACGCAAACCATGCACGATCCATTACATTTTTCTGCAAAGCTGATTGTCGATGTCACAGTGTCAACAAAGCGAAGGGGTGGGCGCTCACTTCCATGGGTGGCCCCTCGCGAACGGTTGTGAACTATTACATTCCCGTTGCGAGGGTCATTCTCTCGATGCCGTTAACCCCTGCTGATTTGCGGAAGAAGAAATAAAAACGGTCACACGATTTCATGAACCCAAGAGAAATATCTCCCTTCGCTGCGTTTTGGGGCTGAGCCGCGTGTTGTCGTTGGGCACGATGTCCGACGTTATCGCTCCACGTTCTGGGAGCTTCTCCAGGATCTGAATATGCTGGACGGACATCGTGCCAAACAGCACGAGGGACAACCAGAAACTGCATCAGAGAGCTGCAGAGCATCATCATCACACTCCATGTGCAGATAACCGTAGAGGTGTCTAATGCACATTTCATCATTTATTTACACTTTACTCTTTGTCTTGCGCCAATATGCTCAAGTAGTGGCACATCTTTCTGGCACCAATCTCCGATGTCATCGTCAAGCCATTCTCTGTTATGTCTTCCTCTTTTTCCTGTTCCTTCCATTTTTTCCCGAACAACAACGCACTTTTAATTTTCCTGTTGCAGCTCATCCTATATGTGTGTCCAAATAGTGCCGGTTTCCTTCTCACTGCCTGCATCAGCAGGCCTTCTTCTATGTGCCAACTTTGGGGACTCTTTGGGTCCAGGTTAGATGCGGTGTCCATGGACAGCGAAACATTTCGATTGCCAGAGCACAGCCATGGAAATCTGTGCAGTAAAAACAATTGGCTGAATCACCCCCCCCCCCCCCCCCCCCCCCCCATTCAGGATTTGAAGTTGCAACCTTCCAAAAACGAGCCCAGCACCTGGACCACAGCGCCACTCACGCAGCCTAAATAAATATATAAATATACCCAAACTATAAAATACATACGTGTGAATACGTTCCTGTGTACCCCTTGGCATTGACCCTGTGTGTTGGACGCGTTGTTAAGTGGGGACACTGTCTTTCGGCACGTGTAAAAAGGCCCGATGCGTGATTGCAAGGCACGTGTTTGTGGCGACTGCTCTGTTTGAAAAAAATATGTGCCCGTGCCCTTAAATATGACCTCATTATATACATATACACTGTATATTTATGGTTTTGCGAGGCACCGAATCTCAAACGTGGCTTTACATGACATTATACGCTTTCTAGATTTTAATCTAGATTTATACACTTTGATGTATTTATAGATACCCCCCCGTTAAAATAACAGGAAGACATTATACAGCAAGCAATATTGGAGTAGATATTGTGTGTGTGTGAATCACGGATCTGCAAATCTCTGTCCATGCTACCAGCCTCCTTCTTTGGTCATCTTCTAAGCTACGGAGCCATCGCTCTCACAACATTCAATCGCCCGTTGAGAAGAAAGTTGCAGGTGTCGTTATAGATCAGTGGGGTACCTATGCAGTAAGATATATCACACTGTACAGTCACAATAATAACAACTGTATTCTCTGGGTGGCATGTTTCTCCAGCGATTTAATGATTTGCCATGATTCAGGGGTAGCGATTTGATTCAAGAATCACTTCTTATTTTTACATTGCCAATGTAGCATGAGAGCCTCACATGAACCCACGACTCACAACGTGCTCGAATGACAGAATCTCAATTCCTTAGGCACGTGTTCTGCGTGCAATAATCCATGTTAACCAAGTAATCAATACATTTTGATGCACCCCTTCCACAAACAATTTAAGAAACGACTCAAGGCACATTAGTCAAACACAACGGAGTGGTTGTCTTGCGTGCAGCGTTTTTTTTTAAATTAATTTTCACCTGTCACAAAACCGATGCGTTGTACGCGCCTTGCCCATTTCCACAGCACCTGATAGGAACACAGGACCTGGGGCAGCCGTACCACGAGCTGGTGAAGGACAAGCATGGCAACGCGCTGCTGGTGACCCTCCGGGAGGTCGAGGTCCCTCAGGGACTGCCGGGCGGGCGTTGGCAGCACGTGAGCCGGCTCCAGAGCCAGCGCAAGTCTCTCTCCACTCCCGAGGAGCCCTCGGCCCTCGACATCCTGCTCATCACCCTCCAGGTGACTCCCTGGGTGCCACGGTGGCGAGATGCTAACCACCTCGCCTGGAATTGCAGGAACCCGTGGGTTTGATCCCCACCCTGACGCCTGCTGCATATTTACAGTTTGCTTATTCACTCTCTCTCCCTCTCGCCGTGGTCGTGCGGATTTTTCTCCGGGTCCTGCGGTTTTTCCCTCCACATTTAGAAGCATGAGTTTAGATAATTTAAATTTCCACGTGATAAGCCACTTCGTTTGTGCTGTCCTTTGTGGCCAGGTCACTTCTGAGAAAGAGCTGTATAGCTCCGAGGGCCTTACTTGGTCAAATTAAATAAATAAAAAATGCTTTTAATCACCCCACACACACACACACAGACAAAGCAGAAGTAGCCTCACGGGATCGTAGGGGCAAGTGCACCCGCAGCGGTGTGGCATGCGAGGTGGTTATATAGCAAACTCCGCTCTCCTCTCAGGATGGTGTGTTGGGAGCGAACGTTCGTGCCTCATGGCAAGAAGTGCCTGTGTTCGATTGCTGACTTCTCGAACAAATGCGCGTACCCAAACTGTCCGCGCAGAGTCTCACGAGCAAGCTTGCACAGGTTTCCAAGTGTGTGCTCACATTGCAGCAAGAGATACCTATTTGCAAATGGGCACAACTTCTAACACGTGTGTACTCACAAGCAAGCCACGCGTGCACGTACACGCAATTAAACCGGCACAGTTAACACACTCGCACAGCGACGATAACAACAAGAGGAGCGCACGCGTTGCCACATATACGTGTGAACAGACAAAAAAAGTATTCATAATAAAGGTTTTTGGGTTAGATCGCGTTTATTTATAAATGTGTCGTAACCCTCCACCACCCGACACGGCCAATCAGCAAAAAAGTGTCACGTTGACAAAAGACAAATAATTCACTACTTCAGCCCACCGGTGTGTTGAAGAGTTAATCCACATTTACAGTTTGAGTACGACGTTTCGCTGGTCATCAAGCGAATTGCTTGATGATGCTGGATGTATTTACCAGCGAAACGTCGTACTCAAACTGTAAATGTGGATTAACTCTTCAACACACCGGTGGGCTGAAGTAGTGAATTATTTGTCTTTTGTCAACGTGACACTTTTTTGCTGATTGGCCGTGTCGGGTGGTGGAGGGTTACGACACATTTATAAATAAACGCGATCTAACCCAAAAACCTTTATTATGAATAATATTGGTCGTGAAAGCCTACGTGTTAAAAAAAGTATTCTGGGCCATTCGACACCCGCAACACATAATAGTAGAGCCCTTTGAAAGTGGTGCCCGTTCTGAGTATATTTTTCTTATGAATAACCATGGCTTGCATACTTCAAACAATAGATTTATTTTATTTAGTAAATGCTAATGTACGGAAAGTGTTCCAGGAACTATAAACGTAGTGATGATCACACCGAGGATGCTAGCTGTCAGCCATTGTGTGTTGTTTTTGTATAAACTGTAATCACACCCCTGGTTTTTCCTGGAAACCCTTTGTAGAGGCCCCGTCAAAGGCAATTTGCACACATCGGGGTCATGGAGTCAAATAACAATTATCCCTACCTGGACAAATGTCTGTTATTGCCATTGCAGGTTCTTTCAATCAGAACATTGAATGAAATGGAAGACACGTTTAACCTCACACACTCATCTTATGGACATACACTCGTCAATTAAAATTCTTAAATAGGTGTCAGTATGTTTTCATGGGAATGTGCTCCCAAACGGGTGATGTGATCTTGCAACTTTAACTCCTTTGCCTTATACTGTGCCGGTTGCAAGTCCTTTTGCTCATCTCAGTAAATTTAATGTTATGGGTGTTTTAAAAAAATATATATCATTTAACACTGACTTCCATAGGGATTACGTACCTTTTTACGTCCCCTGCACATTCCTCGTGCATGACTCAGTATTGTGTCTTTTTTGTTGGATACTTTGTCACATGAAGCTCGAAACTCTTGAGCTGAAAGTCAAAATGTCCCGCATGCTTAAACAACGATTGGGGCTGTGTGACTCGTCTCCTCCGGTTGACCCGAACCGGTGGTGAACATTCCACATTCCCACTTCAAGGGGTATCCATCTACACACAATGACCCGCTGTTGATTTCCCACAATTTGGTAATCGTTTTGTGGACTCAGAGGGGAATGATGGAATAGTGCAGCCTCTGACCAAATTACCCCTGAATGTGCCCTGTCTCTTTAGACCTTGAAATGTGCACGGGGTTGAACCTGGTTAGTGCTTGGATGGAGGACCGCCTGCCAATTCCAGTCGGTGTAGACTTGTGTGTTGCAAGTAAATGTCTGGGGATTTTGTATTCATATCTAAGTACTCTGGTGTCTTCCCACATGCCAAGCACTCGTTTATGGAATTGACAACACAGCCCGAAGTAGAACCCTCTTTAATATGTTTTTTTTTTATCTTTTCCCCAATTGTATTATATCGGCGTCGTATCATCAGACAAAGTATGCATTGCATCTCTCGCAAAACAGTGCAACCCTTCGTGTTCGAGAATGTCCCGTGACACTCAAAGTCACATTTTTTATTGTCAGCGTTGGAATTTAGCCAAAATTAAGCGGCCAAACGAAATCTATTGTGACGTGTTTTTTTTTTCTTTTTCTGCCAGTCATTGATGATCCAGGTTAGCACCATCACCTCGCTTCACTTGAGAACCCGGTTTAATAGTCGATGGCTCCGTGGATTCGAACCTAGGTCCTCAACGGTGCCGGCTCAGCTCTCTGACCTCTGAGCCACCCAACCACCTCTCCTGAATAAGACCCCTAAGACTCAGGTTTTCTATGATGAACAAAGGGGGTTGCATTATTAAATCATCAGCAGGAGCAGCAGAAGCAGCAGTCATGATCTATTAACTGCTGAATGAAGACCTCCCCATGACCTCTCCTGAAAGTGATCCTGAAGACTCAGGGGCGATTTCCTAGGTAAATAAAGGCTAGTAGTAGTAGTATTATTATGAGATGGTTATTTTATATTAGAATAGCACTCTTTTGGCAAATGAACACAGCAGCGCTGTATTATATTTTTTTCATAGTATTTCATTTAACCACTGTGGTGGCCCTTTTTTTACGTGTCATTGAAATACACTGATGTATTGCCTCCATTCACGCAGGGGTGTCTTTACCGTTAGTGCTCCATTGTGTGAACGGACACACACGTTGTCCACATGAACAAACGGTGCTGAGTGACACCACTTTGGGCTCTAAACCACACGGGCTGCATGTGTCATTAATAACAATAGCCATGTCTTGATTTAAAGCTTTCGTGACTGCAGTAATTCATATTCTTAGTTTTTTCGGTAAAGTCACGTTGAAGAGAAACAACAAAATAACAAAATATATATAAAACAATAAAAAATTCTCACGACGTTTCGACCATAACTCAAACGGTCATCGAAACGTCGTGAGAATTTTTTATTGTTTTATATATATTTTGTTATTTTGTTGTTTCTCTTCAACGTGACTTTACCGAAAAAACTAAGAATATAATAGCCATGTCATCAGCGCGCCCACCGTGAGCCCGACTCTGCTTGTCTGTGATGATGACACAAACATAAAGCCATGGGCTTCATAATCAAAGGTTATAATTCGTTTGGGAGGCAAAGGCGGGGCCCTGCAATTGCCTCCACTAGAGGGCATTTTTCGTGCCCTTCCACGCTAACTCGACATCTTGTAAGAGGTGGGTATACCCACACTTTACCCCACCACACGTACCCTACTTATAAACTAAATGGCGAACCCATTTTTATATTACTGCGTGGACAGAGGTTTTAAGAGGCTTTAAGAAACCTGCAACCAACTTTTTCAACTGCATCACCACGAATTCGAATGGAAGCGATGGCCCTCTGGTTGCAAGTGCCTTGTGGTAACCATAACAACCACGGCAGCGTCCCCATCATTTGTGCCCTCGAGTATAATGTTGATCGCAACAAACTCAAGCGATAAAGATTTGTATTCTGCACAGATGGATTCGTCCTATTGCTATGGGAGGAAAAAAAAACCCTCTAGGGAGCTATACATACAATACAATGTCTTTTGTCCAGCGGAGGGGGGTTTGGGGGTTGGGAAGCTCTAATGCGTAAAGAATCCAGGCGCTAGAGCACGGGCAGCCATGCCGGCCACAACGCCGATTCACGCCGTCGCCCGCCTCCTTTCAGGACAAGCTGTCCTACCACCGGGCGAGCCGACAGACCCTGCCCCCCGGTCTGTATCTGGGATACCTGAAGCTGTGCAGCTCCGTGGACCAGATCAAGGTGCTGGTGCCACAGCGGATCCCCAACAGCCTGGTGCACCTGAAGGTTCGCGACAATCCCCACGTCTCTCGGTACGTGCGGCGCCCTCTCCCCCCCCCCCAACCTTGCGCGCGCTTCCACGGGGAATTAAGAGCGACGATGATTGGCGGTGGCGGCGGCGGCGGCGATGATGGGTTTTGTGCCATCCGGTGGGAAACTTTTGTTGTTGTTGTTGTTGTTTGTTGTTGTGTTATTCACACGTGACGTGGCCACGCACCACCCCGGCCCTCACGGAGTACAACAATGTATGTTGATGGAGCAAACCTTGATTTTAACAGAGGTCATTTTGAAACAAGGCGCCCCTTGTGAACGTGGTGTATGTTGACTAATGGAGGCACTGTTCACTATTTTTGTTTCGCAAAAAAACAGGGGCCTCTTTTGTCAACAAGGCGTCCGGCGGCGGCGGCTTAAAGGAACCGAACTGTAGTACAAAAAACATCGAAATGCTCAGCACGAACGCAGATCATAATTGTTGTACAAAATGAATTGGGGTGGGGGGTAGGGGTGGGTTGAAACAAAAATCTGTTTTTTAGAGGAATTTTCGTTGCGGTTTTTACTTGCTTTTGCTTTCAAATTGAAAACTAGAAACTGGGCTTTGAATACTTGGAAAATAAATAGCGCACGTTATGCCAAAATATCCAAGTAAGGGACCGTGTCTGCATAAAAATAAAACATTTTATTGATGCACACCGAAGGCTCAGTAGAGGTGGCTGTTTTGGAGACCGGGCATCGACAGCAGAATAGCAAAATGCCTGGGCTTCAGTTACAAAAGCACAAAAAAATTCAGAGACAGCAAAACAATTCCTTTGCGTTGAGTGGCAGCGTTCACAGCAACTGCTCTTCGATGGGGTTTATTGCAGATTAAAGCAGCTGGTTAATGAGTATATGGAGATCTTAGCTCCGCCTCCCTCACCGAGTCAAGTTGTCGAATAGAATTAATTTGTGTTTGGCTCTTGCTGTGCGGAATGCTTGGCTGATGAGCCCGCAGGGAGCACGATTTAGACATTTTCCAGAAATGTTGTTAGCCTCACTGCTCCTCTGCCGTGCATGGGATTGCAGATTACATTTTTTTTTTAAACCGTGGATCAGCGTTTCACAGTTATAGCTGGCGAATGTGAGAAACCCATTTTTCTCTCTTCGTACTTTATATGTTCGCTTCGATAATAGGTCAAAGTTCAGTCCTGCGTTTGCTTGCTCATGCAAGTACTGGCGGAAGGGACCTCGACTCGAGGAATCTCTTGAAAGGCCCTCCACGTGGTATTTTGGCCTTCTCTCTTACACGCTGGCCATAGCATCTGGGAATCGGTGGGAGTACCCACACTTGATTCCACCGCGTGTAATCTGCCGATCGACTAACCGTACTGCCGCCCATTTGCCCTGATTGGTGCTTAGAGGGGAGGGAATTTAAAATCTACCCAGTCTGCACCAGTGGACTGCAAGTTCATTGCGCTCACCATTAGGCAATGGCAGAATCCCATGAACAATATACTAAAGCCACGGTCTTGTAAATGTTCCATCGTGTCCTGGCATTTAGTTTGTATGTGTTGTAATGTGACGTCAGCTAACTGGCTGAACACTCGCTGTATAAATCTTGACTTAAAGCTTTCATGACTGCAGGAATTCATATTCTTTGGGTCTTTCGGTAAAGTCATCTAGATAGATTGTTATTTTTTTTTAACCTATCTACGTGAGTTTACCGAAAGACCCAAAGAATACTCGCTGTATATTTTATGGGGGCATAATAATATATATACAGTGAGGGAAAAAAGTATTTGATCCCCTTCTGATTTTGTACGTTTGCCCACTGACAAAGAAATGATCAGTCTATAATTTTAATGGTAGTTTTATTTGAACAGTGAGAGACAGAATAACAACAAAATCCAGAAAAACGCATGTCAAAAAAGTTATAAATTGATTTGCATTTTAATGAGGGAAATAAGTATTTGACCCCTCTGCAAAACATGACTTAGTACTTGGTGGCAAAACCCTTGTTGGCAATCACAGAGGTCAGACGTTTCTTGTAGTTGGCCACCAGGTTTGCACACATCTCAGGAGGGATTTTGTCCACTCCTCTTTGCAGATCTCCAAGTCATTAAGGTTTCGAGGCTGACGTTTGGCAACTCGAACCTTCAGCTCCCTCCACAGATTTTCTATGGGATTAAGTTCTGGAGACTGACTAGGCCACTCCAGGACCTTAATGTGCTTCTTCTTGAGCCACTCCTTTGTGGCCTTGGCCGTGTGTTTTGGGTCATTGTCATGCTGGAATACCCATACACGACCCATTTTCAATGCCTTGGCTGAGGGAAGGAGATTCTCACCCAAGATTTGACAGTACATGGCCCCGTCCATCGTCCCTTTGATGCGGTGAAGTTGTCCTGTCCCATTAGCAGAAAAACACCCCCAAAGCATAATGTTTCCACCTCCATATTTGACGGTGGGGATGGTGTTCTTTGGGTCATCGGCAGCATTCCTCCTCCTCCAAACACGGCGAGTTGAGTTGATGCCAAAGAGCTCCATTTTGGTCTCATCTGACCACAACACTTTCACCCAGTTGTCCTCTGAATCATTCAGATGTGCATTGGCAATCTTCAGGCGGGCATGTATATGTGCTTTCTTGAGCAGGGGGACCTTGTGGGCGCTGCAGGATTTCAGTCCTTCACGGCGTAGTGTGTTATCAATTGTTTTCTTGGTGACTATGGTCGCAGCTGCCTTGAGATCATTGACAAGATCCTCCCATGTAGTTCTGGGCTGATTTCTCACCGTTCTCATGATCATTGCAACTCCACGAGGCGAGATCTTGCATGGAGCCCCAGGCCGAGGGAAATTGACAGTTCTTTTGTGTATATTCCATTTGCGAATAATCGCACCAACTGTTGTCACCTTCTCACCAAGCTGCTTGGCAATGGTCTTGTAGCCCATTCCAACCTTGTGTAGGTCTACAATCTTGTTCCTGACATCCTTGGAGAGCTCTTTGGTCTTGGCCATGGTGGAGAGTTTGGAATCTGATTGATTGATTGATTGCTTCTGTGGACAGGTGTCTTTTATACAGGTAACAAGCTGAGATTAGGAGCACTCCCCTTAAGAAGGTGCTCCTAATCTCAGCTTGTTACCTGTATAAAAGACACCTGGGAGCCATAAATGTTTCTGATTGAGAGGGGGTCAAATACTCATTAAAATGCAAATCAATTTATAACATTTTTTACATGCGTTTTTCTGGATTTTTTTGTTATTCTGTCTCTCACTGTTCAAATAAACATACCATTAAAATTATAGACTGATCATTTCTTTGTCAGTGGGCAAACGTACAAAATCAGCAGGGGATCAAATACGTTTTTCCCTCACTGTAGATAAATGAACAAGAAAATATTTTACAACTTACACATTTGGGTCAAAAAGCATACAAATAAAAGCAATCTAAACAATGATAAAAAAAACAGTTGTTTTTTTCTGATGGTAACGAAGTATTTTAATATGACTAAGCAATGCTGAATTAATTAATAAATAGGGAATAAATAAGCAAGTACTGTGTGTATGAATAAGTAATTTCACACATGAATAATGTACAGGATATAAATAATACATTCACAGTGCATTCACACGCAATGCATAAATAAATGGATTGCGTTACGAATAACAAAAAATAGAATGAATTCTGTAAACAACTGTGTGAATGTATGAATCAAATGCACCCGTGAATTAATGAATGGATGAAATGAACATGCCCATTAATCGGAGTTTTTATTCATCCTGGATAAATCTGATGAGCTATGAAGCTCTTATTTTTACAGACATTCCAGGAGATGTTAAGAATAATCCAGCTCAGCGACTCAGCAGTAGAGCGAACAACTCCCGTTTGGAAGGTTGCGAATTAAAATCCTGGTTGCGGGGTTGACTTAGTCCATCGTCCCTCTGGGGATCACTAAACTAGGTACCACTTTGTGGGAGAAGTCAACAGCGGTTGTCCTATGCATGGACTTGCCTCCCACCATAGAAGCGTAACATTTTTGGCACTGGTTTAGGCCTCTCGAAATTAAACGAATGCGGACGCAGTGGGAGCTTCTTGCCTCGTCCGTGTGTCCCAGTGAGGAGTGGGAAGGTTTGAGCCGGATTTCGGGACCCGTGGACACCGCAGGTGGCCCTGGGCTCGGGGGCCCAGGCTCCAGCCAAGACGTGTTCCTCAAGCAGCTGAGCTGTGCGCTGTCGGCCCTCCTGAAACAGCTGCACATATCTCCACATCAGGTGTGCGAACGCGACACGGCTCCGGATACTTGTAACTCTTCAATTGGACGTTCGTGTCTCCAGATTATGTAATTGTGTGTATCATGACGACATAATCTCGTGACATCGCACATCGTGCACCGTGTTGACGTTGTCGCGTCATGTGTCTCAGAAGGTATCATTATCTTCGCTAATTAAACACCTCCGAGGACAAATGCGCGTCGGAGAGCGTTTTGGAATCCTTGCGCATGCATGATTGTCCTTCCTTGTTTTGACCTATAATAAATGGATGCCTCTCTGTATTTTGTTGTTTTGACCTATAATAAATGGATGCCTCTCTGTATTTTGTTGTACGCAGGCAAAGGAGTTCCGCATCTATAACCAGGAGGTGCTGGAGTTTGGAGACCGGGTGTCGTTCATGCTCCTCCTGCCTCCCTCGGATGACGTTTGTGTTGCCCCGGGACAGAGCAACGCATACCCAACGCTCTCAGGCCTCATCGCTCTGCCCCTGCAGATCTTTGAGATCGGTAGGGTCGCGTCCATCGAACCGAATCGTCGCCCGCACACAGGCAGGACCATCCACGCAATGCCAATCTGATTGTAACAGTCTGACCTGGTGGTGCTGTGCTTACACCTCTTTTTTTCCACTGCACAACCTGGCCATGCCAGGGCCAGCCCGGCACGTCTCTGCAAGCTCCAGGTTGTTGTTTTTTTTTCCATTGGAGAAGCCGATCTGTGCCGCTGACGTCACACACAATAAACTTTTGACATCAGCGCCACACGCTCAAGCGTGCTGACTTTCGCAACATACGACGAGCATTATTAACTCCACCCCTGGCCCTGCATGGCCCCAAGCCAGATTCGGTTGTTTTGTGAGGCCCGAGTTTTACGGTTTGATTCTGGCTCAGCTTGGCAATCAGAAAGTTGCATCTTCAATTCCTAGGCAGGGTCGATATCATGAGTAACCACAACGTGGGAGGTAAATAGTGCGTGTCCTTTTCATCGACTCACGCCTGCCACAATAACGTGGAATTTTCCATCACCAGCTCCCTAGGACCAATGGTGATGAAGCCGAACTCCGCAGTCGATTAAGAGAGACAGTTTCACTTTTGAGTTGAAACACCGCATCTGCTCACGTGGCCGAATCCGAGATTCATCACGCGTGTCAACTCAAGGGCCCGTAGGTGTGTTGAACCGTGTCTCGTTATTTTTGTCTCATTTTATGTTGCATTTGTTTGCATCTCTGAGCACCGGGTGTTTCACTCACCTTAAAAACCTGCAGAGCGAGGAAAGGAGCCGTGACTGCCAAATCTACGTGTGCGTGTGTATTTATGCATTAACTTAATACCAAGTTTAAGAGGGGGGTTGGGGGGGGGAGTTGAACTTGTATTTTGAAGCACAGTTTTGCTCTGCGTGTAACCTAGACACTGGTTCAGCGCGAGCAACCTCCAGCCACTCGCGGGTGCTGCATCATCCTCCTCCGTCGGTGGCGTGACGGCAGACGGGCACTCGGTGTGCCGAGCCAAACGTTGACCTCAGCGTTGGATAATTCCGTTTGTGGATTGCAATTCATTGTTTCCGACCGAAAACGTGCAAGCGGTCGATCCAGCTACTGTAAGCTATCGACGGCCCCATCAATAAAGGCTTCACTTTGTTTAATAACATTTTTTTTTCATTAAATGACGCACATATTGTTTAATGACGTGATTAATTCATTTGCCATTCTTCATAGCGTGTGCACTTTTTTTTGAGAACGTCACTGTCACCGAGGAGTGAGATTGTGGCAGTAGGATTGGGTGGCTTATAAATATACATTTTAATGGTGACAGATCACATAGCAGAGCAATTATTGATTCTTTCATTCATTATTCTTCGGTCAAAATTACCGAAGGCTGCATGGCAACAATTACCTGCATGGCCTCACTCTCTCCTTACCCTACATGCCAGGGCTGTGATGTTAACACAGTCTTAATAATGTTACGCACACCTTTGCTGGCTAACACCATACCCTGTGCTGTGTAAACCAGACCACAGTAACACCTTTATGCGAGGCATCTCAGCTATTTCAAACCACTGCACTTTTCGTTTTTATTTTTGGCAAAGTCTAAACACACAAAATAATAAAACGTGGTATTGGTTACATTTTCACGAGCGTACAGTCTGCACGTATATATTTTTACGTGGCAATGTAAATAAATAATTGTATACCTACAATTACAGTTCAACTATGCAATTGGCAGTTGCATTAATTCTACTCTAGCCCTTCCTGGCATCGCTTGAAGGAAATGAAAAGTTACTGCAGAAACGAACACTTCATTCGTTAACGTTAATTGTTGTGGTGGATAACCTTTGCATACATTCAGTGTTAGCATCCAAGAGCAAAGCAAACCACCGTCGATTTACAGCACGGACATTTTCATTGTCATTTTTTTTGCCACACTATTTCAACATTTTACATAATTTATTATGAATAATCATTTATTTTAAAATTGCAAGGTGTGTGCTCGCCAATGTATATTCCGTTATTTAAGGATTATAATTAGACGAGACACACACACACAAGCATGGTAGTATGAATATATACCGTCAGTCTCATCCTTCTAAACCTCCACATGTCCACCATGGCATTGGACACATGCATCACATCAACATTGGAGAGGCGTTTGATTGTTTCGAATGCTTCTGTCACGTGTGATTTACGTTAATCATGATTTATAGGATATACTTCATCCTTCAAATAGTCATTTCATTCAGTAATGCAGTTAAAACTGTGGTATAAGCATCATGTTTTTGAAGCATATATTATGCAAATAAACTCACACATAACGGTAAAGGTGCAGGTCTGCACTTGATTGCTCCCGCTACTGTATGTGTGAAGGACTTTCACTCGAGGCAGCTCGAGAGAGCCACTGTTGAGAGTTTTTGGCCTACTCTTCCACGCTGGCCAGATGTCTTGGAAGGGGTGGGGAGCACCCACACTTTACCCCGCCACACGCTACCTGCAAAATCGGCTAACCCGCGGTGAAACGATTTACGCTGCTGGGTGGACAGATGCAAGGAGGTTAAAAAAGCAGAGTTTTCAACGGCCGCACTCGGAAGCTTCAACAACGCACACAAACACACACTCCATAAACAAACAGCTTTCTAGCAGCATGCAAAACCACCATTTCCAGAAGAAATGCGTTGCGGATTCTCCTCGTGTAAAGATTCGAATTGCTTCGCCGGTTTTCGGCGAACGATTGTGCCACCAACGACAAAGATTCCCCCATGTTGGGGCAAGTGGCCGACCGTCTTTGTCTCCCCAGTGACAATGTTTGCACATCGGACCAGGTAATCATTTGAGGCTGAGTCGACCTAGGAGAGGCCCGTGATCGGTTCAGATAATCGCCACTGGTGTTGGCCGTGAGCGGGAATCAAACCCGGGTCGCCGGGTTCGCAGCGAGTTAACCACAGCGCCACCGCTGACACGCAACACACAAAAACAAATATCAGCGCCACCGCTGACACAAATATCGAGAAATGCTATAGAGCTTTTCTTTCTTGGTTTTTTTAGATAACGAGCGGTGATTCAGATGATGTCAACAAAAACTCTGGGTTTCCCTGAATTGCCCCTTTGCTCGCGGAAAGGAGAGCGCACAGTGTTCCATCCAGCGGCTTAATTTATTTTGGGAGAGGGGGGGGGAATGTCTGCACAGTCTAAAGCGTTCTAATGTGAGCTAAATAGTGGTCTATAAACGCTGGTTGTCCCACGTGGAATTACCCCGTTGATGAGCCAAGTGCGATATATATTTTTTTAAACGAAAGCACGCTGGTGTTATTTGAGTTAGGGCTTGTTTGCGATGATGTGGCAGGAGCACACGTTCTCCATTCTCGTCTTCTTCTTCTTCTTCAAAAACAAACTTGTCTTGTGAGTTTGAGATGTGACTCCTAGTCAGGCGTGCCAGTGGTGGGATTTTTTTTCAAATACTTTTTTTTTGTTAATAATTAATATATTTACTTGTTTATTCGTAGCCATAACGCTTCATTCAAAGTTAAAACGTTATAGCAATAAATTACAACTGCTATAGTTTAGGTTTCGCATTCGGTTTGTTTATAGCAACAATTTTTTTTTGCTAAATATGAATATAGTATTATGCTGTTACCATGACAACATAAACAGTTATATAGGTTAACAAAATAGTGTTGAGAAACGCTTACTTCAATAAAAAATATAAACCTTTAGCTTAGAGGTTTATTTGTTGTTTATAATAATTATGGGGTGGGTATTTGGCATGGAACAATGTATAAAATCGTAATTAATCATTATGCTCATGATACGTGCATGGAATCGCTTGCTGAAATCAACTTTTTGGAGTCCTTTGCATCCTACGTCATGGATTCACTTGACCCCTGCAGCCAATCGAGTCGCAACATTCACAACAATGACTTTATTCTTATAGCCAACATTGTTACATGCCTGGTGGGCACAGGCTGAAACCCAGGGGGGGGGGTAATGTCCTGGTCGTCCAAAGCCCCCCCAACCCAACCCCACTCCGGCCACAAACCCCAACCTCAGCCATCGATGCCAACCGCCTAGACTCAGGCCCTGCTTGAAACCTGCCTTAGCATGCACCGGATTGTTCTCCACCAAGTCACCGCGTCGCGCTACCTCGGTCGACGCAGCGCGCGCCTCTTCATAACGAGGGGGCTTGCTGCCGTGTCGCCCCAGTGCACCTGCTGACGTTCGAGTGGGCCTTCATCTCGCGCTACTGCTGCTTGTCGGCGCTGCTCGACCTGGAGCTGCTGCTCGCGCAGCAGGCGCTGCGCGAGGCGTTCTCCGACGGGGAGCTCGCCGTGGCCAAGCAGCGTCACCAGGCCGTGCTGGACTTTGTGCAGGTCGCGTGCGCCGCCGTGAGATATTGGGGACGCCTGCAGGAGGGCCTGGGGGGACCCGTGGGCACTAAGGGGGCCGGTAGGGGACAGGTGGCAGAGAGGGGGGTCGACGAGGATGGACGGGACAGCGGGAATGTTGTACTCCGTCAGCAGCCAAGCGACACAGTAGTCATAGTGTCTGGCTTACAATCTGAAGGTTGCAATTTCAGATCTTGAATGGGGGTTGACGCAGCCAGCCATTTCTTTGGGGTTTATACTGCCACATAAGTTTTCGCGGTTGTGCTGCACTGCTCACCGATCGATGTGTTTTTGGTTTGTACCACTTGTTGTTCAATTTGATGTTCCGCTCAACGTACTGGGAGATTCTTCGGTTCCTGACCATGCTTCACTAATTCTTCCGCTCCTGAAGAAGCTCCCAGTACGTGGAGCGAAACGCCGAACATCGTGCGGAGCTTCACACACGTGGTGCAACCCGAAATCGTTGCGCAATGAGAGAATACCAAATTGCATTTGCAGGCAATACGATAAATTACAGAGCCGTCAAAAGGCACGTGTAAACAATCATTTAAAGTTAAAAGTAAAGTTCAGCCATCCAATTTCTTGCTCACGCTATTGCTGGGCAGACGGGCCTTCATTCGAGAGAGCCCCTATAGAGTGCGTTTGCTCCGTTTTCTTCCACGATAGCTTGATGTCTTGAAAGAGGTCCCGCACTTTACCATACAACATGAAACCTGCCGATCGAACAACTGTGGGTGAAATCATTTACGCTGCTAGAGGTGATAGAGGCAGTAGTGGAGGGGGGGTGGGGGGTGGAACTTGCTTCATTGTTTCAACTTGCCCACACACCAGGAGATCGATTCAAACCGGCGACAGCTGGATCGCAAGTGCAGTGTGATAACCATTCATGACACCACCGTGGTAACATCCTCGCCATAGAAGCGCGCACGTTATATACGTCGATCTGCAGGAATGCGTGCGTGCGTGCGTGTACGCTGCTCCATCGTGTCCGCTCACCGCCATCCGCGATGGTGCTCTTCGCAGCAAGTGGACGAGGTCTGGAAGGAGAGCCGCTGGATCATGAACGTCCTGCAGCACGCGCGCTACAAGCAGCCGCCCAGCGGTGTCCCTATCCGCTGGCTCATCAGCACATCGGAGGAGGTGCTCATCCCAAAGCCCAACTCGACGTCGTCCAACATGGAATACTTGCCCTCGCCATCGCCCTCCCCGGATCTGCTGCGCCGCACCACCTACAACGGTGCCATAGCTCGTCGCGCTCCCACCTCGCCAGTCGGGTTTTGGTTTCAGCCCTGGGTTTTGATATTTACTCACTCCTTCTCTGCAATTTGCAGGCCTGGGGAAAGTGGTTCCCTTTTTCAAAGCCCCCAGTTGCTGAGAACATGCCTCCCAATTGCCCACCAGCAAACGGCACTTTTGAGGACATAGTTAGACAACGCAGCTAATACGTCGGTGATTTGAGCAGCATTAGACGGACTTGGGAAAGGAGCACAGCAGAATAAAGGGGAAGCGTCGTGACCTGCGGTGTGCTGAGCGAGCATGTTGTTGTGACCTGCGGTGTGGTGAGCGAGCATGTTGTTGTGAGCTGCGGTGTGGTGAGCGAGCATGTTGTCGTGACCTGCGGTGTGGTGAGAGAGCATGTTGTTGTGGGCTGCGGTGTGGTGAGCGAGCATGTTGTTGTGAGCTGCGGTGTGGTGAGCGAGCATGTTGTTGTGGGCTGCGGTGTGGTGAGCGAGCATGTTGTTGTGACCTGCGGTGTGGTGAGCGAGCATGTTGTTGTGACCTGCGGTGTGGTGAGCGAGCATGTTGTTGTGACCTGCGGTGTGGTGAGCGAGCATGTTGTTGTGAGCTGCGGTGTGGTGAGCGAGCATGTTGTTGTGAGCTGCGGTGTGATGGCTGAACACAAGAGGGATGAGACGAAAGTGTCGGTTTGGTCGGGTCTGGTGGAGGGCTGCAAGTGGTGAGGTCCGTTGGCCTCAGTGGCCACGATGACATCTTGACCTGGATAGAAATGTAGAAACTCACCGCTCTCTTAACGGCTGCCGACCGAGGCGAGCACCATGCAGTGCTCACTCCCGCGCTGGCGGCACCGCATCGAGATGGCAGCACGCAGTTGCTTCGCTCTACACCGCATCGCGATTGACGCCCGCGCGTGTGAACCTTCGCGCCATGCCGCCAGACCTGCAGGGCACGTCGGACGAGGACGGCCTGTCCGAGGTCTTCCTCCCCACGGACAGCGACTACGAGTCGAGCTGCGCCCAGAGCCCCAAGGAGCTCGACCTGCTCTACACGGCCCCGGCGGCCCACGCGTCCACGCCAGACCGCGGCGGCGCGGCACGGCGCGGCGACGACCTCGACGACGCCGCGCCCGACGTCCTCCAGGCGCACGACGTTCGGCGGGCCGACGCCGCCGCCGCCGCCGCCGCCGCCGAGGGCGGCTCGCGGGCCCGCGACCTGGAGGCGCTGTTCGGCTGCATGAACCTCGACGGCCCCGAAGCGGCGGCCGACGCGGACGCGGTCCGGGGCCGCCGCTGCCCGCGTCAACGCGGCGCCGCGGGAGACGGGCCGCAGGCCGCCTTCGGGGGCCCGTGCTACCTGGAGCAGGAGGCGGAGTGGAGGAGCGTCGTGTTCGCGCAGAGCCGCGCGGAGGACGCGGAGCTCATCGCCGCCTTCCACGCGGCTCGGGAAAACAAGCGGGCAATGCGGGCGGACTGCGTCGACGCTCCGGAGGACGAGAGGGCGGAGGGTGGCAGGACGTCGGTGCCGTTCGCCTCGGCGGGGGAGGCGCGCGGCGGCGACACCGAGTGGCTAGGGGAAGGAGAGGCCTGCCACGCGGAGACAGCGGAGGGGATGGAATACTTCCCACGGTCCGAGGCGGCTGTCCTGCAAAGGGTCTCCTTCCGGCTTCCCTCTGAATTCACCGTCGAAGACTCCGTCGAGGCAAGTTTGTTTGTACAACGTGTTTTTGTTTTCAGATAATCATCAACCCCACTTTGAACGTGCGATATGTATGTAGGTACAATAAAAATACTCACCGTATTAATCGTTAACACTGCTTGCCCACCACCGCTAGTGAGGTGTTGTTTTCTATGTCTGTATAACGAGGCAGATGTATACGTTTGCATGTATGGAGACAGGCTCTATAATCGTCCACACGCTACATTGTGGGGATGATTTTCCGTTTTAAACATTTAGGGTTTTTAAAGACATTTTCTGATTTTTTTGGGGGGTGGATTTTCATTTTTTTACGTCACTTACATATCGTGATAATGTAAACATGTTCGTGCTAACAGGAGTGGCGTCAACTGTTGCCACGTTACATCGCTTTTGGTGGGACAGGCATGGCCGCGATGTCACGTTAGTGGCGTTACTTCTTGTGCTGGCTTATTTTCCTTTCAATCAAATTTTTTTGTTTTATTTTACCGGATCTTCTCAAATGTCTAATCTGGCCAGAATTGTCGTCTGTTTTGGATGCTATTTCATTCCGATCGGGGTTTCATACATAAAAGTATGTTGTAGGAATGTGCTCCCAATCTTTGGATATGGTAGTAAAACACCACATCACCTCACATGTACTGTCACTTTCACACCTTTTTCCACCAAACGTTGGACCATGTGGCATTGGGTAATGTCACTTTTGTGAGCACGAACGCATGTTAAATTATTATATTTTGTGGAATATTGCAAAATCTGAAAATCCCCAAAAAGACACAAAATTGTCCATCCAAACTGCTAAATACCGTTCATTTTCAAATCGGAAAGCCATTCCTTGCACATCGCATCCATGCGTGCGTACGATGAGGCTGGACGCATGTTAATTTTGCGCGGACTAAAAGTTGTCCTTCAAAGAGGGCGCTTCGCAGTCTCAATGTCTCTGCCCTTGAGTCACAGCGACGTGTTCACCGCGCGCCCGCAGATACCCGTGACGAGCACGTGCACTGCCAAGGACATCGTGCGGCGAGCGCTGCAAAAGCTTGAGGAGCTCGCGAGCAGGGAGGCCCAGGAGCCTCTGCCGCCAGGCTTCCTGGAGGAGCACGTGGAGCACTTTAGCCTCGTGGCAACGACGGGCGCCGAGGAAGTGTGGCTGCAGGAGCACTGCTGCCCTCTCTCCCTGGCTCACCCGTGGGACTCGGCTACCCTGTGTGTCAGCATCAAGCCAGACTCGCCCCTCTCATATCTGGAGGAAATCACCACGAAAGTTTGATGGTGTTTTTTTTTTTTTAAAAGCACACAGTGGGCCGGCCCAGTCTCGGCTGTGATTGGTGTGTTTTCGGTCATAAAACAAATATCTAACGATAAAAAAAATGAAAAACATGTTATATATAAATAAATGCGTTAAGACACAAATCATGAAATAAGCCTCATGCATGTACTTATTATTTATCGCGATGTTTAAAAGTGAAGGAAATTATTTATTTTGATTGACTACCTACCTACACAATGCAAGCTTGTTTTTTAATCCCCCACAACGATTGTATTTGTGTTTGCTTAGCACCACTAGGAACAAAACATATACCCGTGGTCACATATTGTTTTTCTTTTCTTTGGTAAGAATGATCCCCAAAATGGCCCGTAAAAAAGAAATATATATAGGATTTATATTTGTATTTATTGTTGAGCAGGTTGATTGAAACTTGTAATGTTTGGAGCATTTGTACGAATTATTATAATTACAACCGGCAGCTTCGTGCGATATAATATGAAGGAGACATAAGCTTTTTGATTTATCAAACGGATATAGTTTTTTGTGTGAATATTTAACAAATATATTTATTTAAAATGCATACGGTTTTAATTTAACGTATTGAGTCTCTGGCAAGGCTGTATCATGTAACAAATGTAATTTATCAGGGCAATCCTCATTTTGTGAGTATAAAGCAACTCACATATGAGAGTAAGATTTTATTTAGTGGATATTCCTTGGCTATAAAACACATTGTTTTGCAAGGCAAATCCATTCTGTGTGTATCTTCCCAACAGTTTTAATTTATGAAATTCGTGTTTTCCCGAATATTCTTCATCGCAAACTCTGCCCGGGCTAATGGGGACCTTTACTGTCCTGGTGCGATTACGCTGATGTGTATCACAGGATCTCCAAATCCACATTACCAAAAACAATCAACAATATACATGTGACTAAGGCTATTAGCCCACAACCAGCGTTCATTTTGTCCATGAGATTTGTGATTAATATTTGCCAATGAGGGCAAGGAGTGGATGAAACCCATTCGGTGTGACAATGGCTACAACTTCCCAACAAAGACTTAAGTGTGACCGACCGTGATGAGACATAGTTGACGAAATTCTGACTCAATCAACATTTAACAACGTACGAGCGGGGACGACATTTTTCACTGCTTTCGTCCACGCGACCAAGAGCCGCGTGACTCCAAATGAGATCCACAACAATGAGACTCGACTAAAATCCGACAGGTTGCCATCAACTCAAACTTCAGACGATGACGCAGATTAAAACGACGACTAAAATCAACGTCGCCCCCCCCCCCCATGCATGCGAGCCGAGAAGGACGGCGGCACTCGAGCGGAGGCCGTGGCACGGACGCTCGCTCGCTCGCTCGCGCGGCCGCGCCACCGTCGATTTCTGCTTTTACGGGGCAGCTGAGGTTTCCTGGAAGTTAGCCGTGAAAACCACCAGATGCTTGCGGTCACGATGTGCCGGATCGGCTTTCACGAGGGACGCGGGCGCGTACGCAGAGGCCCTAATGAGAGCGGCGCGCACAGCAGCGGCAGTGGCAGCGGCAGCTTGCCATTTGGGCCTCTTTGCCGCTCGTCTGGACGTGGTGGCCGCCGGCAGCAGAGAGAGGCAGCAACAGGTGCGAAGTGCGCACTGCAGCAGCAGCAGCAGGGCAGTCACACGATCCGTCCCTGTGGCCAGATGCTGGCCCCTTAGTAACCCGCTCCTTCCTGTGTCACCAGGAGGGGCACGGGGGGGGGCGGGGGGTCGGGAGGGGGAAAACGAATTTTCGTAATGAATGCAACGCTTTGTCGTATGCACCACTGCTGTATGTCTCCAAATATTTGGATTATCTCAAAATGTTTCCGATGGCCTTTGCTTGCAGCTGACGACAATAAATAGCTGCACGACGGTCACCCAGTGCAAGTGCTCAAGGCAGTTGAAGGTGTTCTGAGTTTTCGGCAAGAGTATGTGAGAACACACCATTGTTTTTTTGTCATTCCGCTGCTGGATGAGAGCCTCCCGGTGCTGTGCAGAGTCATATGACGGCTTTTCGGACCATGCCTCTTACCACGATGGTCAGTGCAGGTTGGTGAATGTGGGCAGCACGAGGTGTTAAAAGCACAGTTACCACGCAACAATGGATTTTACCGAAGTAACCTAACCCACTGCTGACGACGTAGCCCCCCGCTATGCACACACACACACACCACATATATATTATACATGTGAAAGTTTTACATCCACTTCATGGCCAGTATAACGCAATTGCGCTTGTTTTATTTTGACTCCGCGTTTCTGCGAAATTTTCATCTCTCTCGTACGCAACGGGGTGATTACAGTTTTCTTGCACTCCAAAAATGAATGTTTCCCCATGCTCCCTGTCCACCCCCTCCATCCTCCTCCTCCTCTCTGTCATTTCCTACTGTTGGTGATTGTATCGAGTCAGAGAGTTCTCTGACAAAAAAACAATCCTCTGTTGCAACAACATTTCTAAAATTCCACGTTGTGTCCCACAAGCAGTGCCAAGATTATGCACATGTACAAAGTGGGGGTTGTATAACCCAAACATTCGTCACACTCGCCAGTTGTCTCATTCTCATGGTCAATTATTCCATTCATAAAATACGTTTAGGTTATTACGTACGGAATATCAAAATATTTACGAGAAGGAATGTCTCGAGAAATGTGTTGTTATCTTTCTTCTCGACTGAGTTGGTCAACGTTAACAACGTTTTGTTTTTAGTTCATAAATAAAGAGTGTTGTCCCGACATTGTCACTCACCAATGGATAAGTCATATGCTACGTTTGTAATGTTTGCAGTATGCATTATGTATGCAAGAGATAACTGTGTGTCTGTGTGTGTATACAAAGACAAAGTTCCCCCGTGTAGCCTTTAACATACTGTTGAGGCAAGTGCTGTTAGCGAGCACCTATGAAGGCCGGCACGGCACACGAAGTGGCGGCCGGCCAGCACCTCGCCCTCGTGGCGATGTTTACACATCGCACCAGGTCCTCGTTTAAGGCTGAGTCGACCTAGGTGAGGCCCAGGACCGGATCAGATAATTATCACTTGTGTTGACCGTGAGCGGGAATCGAACCCTTGTGGCCGGGTTAGTTGCGCAACGCACTAACCGCTACACTACCGCTGTATACAGGCACACACACACATTAAGTTGATGTAATGTCTACTTTTATACATGCTTGTATCTATTCCATCTTTAGTGTTGAACCAAGGAAATTAATGCAATCACAAATAATTCCAAACGAATAAAAAATACGCGTTCGTTAATAAAATATCTAGGGCTATTAAATAACAAAACACAAAAAAATATATATAAATGACTCATCTGCAATAGATATGTAGCCGTTGCAGGTGGCTTTATTCAGGGTAATGCTATTATTTTATTATTTTCTCCCCCAGCAAATCTTGAACACTGGTTCCTTTTTGTTGTTGTTGTCGCCGTGCAGCTGTGCAAGACAAGCGAAGAGAACACACAATGGCAAAGCTGCATCGCCCAACTTGCCAATTCCCTCACGCTGCTGTGTGTGGCTCTGATGCATTTGCGGGTTTGCGCCGTGTGCTCATCAGCGCGATGTCCATCGTGTCGGGGCTTCGCACCGAGCAATCACACAGCGCAACCCATACCCCAACAACCTCATCGGGGAGGATCGCCTGTTGAACGCCTTGCACGCTGGCACCCGTAGACACTTGAATGTTCAGCACGTTTCCATGAAGGTCGCGTGGACTCACAAAACCGCGTGTCGACGATATCTGTACATTTTCTGCACTTGCCCGACCACCTCTATTCTGATTACACTTGCATTTGATAGATCATCTGCATACAATGGTTGTGTGCGCGCCATGGCACGTGGCAGTGGGCACGCAGTGTATTGTCCTAATGATGGGGCTTTTACTTGCACTGCATGAGAGCACATAGGCTGGGACCTTACGTGGGGGTTTAATACAGATTAACGGTATTTTTGGAGAAACCTGAATTGACTGTCGATTACGGAATGGGATTTCAATCGCTTATGCGCTCCGAAAATGGTTTTTAGTAAATATTTTAAAATGTTCGAGGAGCCGGTCTCCCGTAACGAGCAGGGTAACGCTGACACAAAGGTCTCTTTAATATCGCAATGAATGGATCATTCATCATTGGTAAATATATACCGTTAAATGCAGCATGCAGTTTCATAAAGTTAGTTTCGAGCTAATAATATAATTAATTTTTGTAAAGTATGTAAAGCTGTAGACAGTTTATCATACACGTGCTTTGACTGCTTTATTTATGTTGTAAGAATGAAAACATTTTAAAAGAATTTCATTTGGCAAAAAAAAAATGCCCCGAGTCTACGAAACAGCTTTGAACTGTATTATTGACGTATGTGCGCGTGTGTGCCCGGGCATTTTATTATTTTCTTGCAATATTTATAACATAGACGATGTGTTATTATAGTATTATTTAAACGCTTTCGTGTTGCGATGAATAAATTGTATAGCTCAACGCAAACACAAAAAAACGTCCCAATATGTGCGGTGCACCTCCACGTGGTAGACTGCAGAAAAGCCACGTGCTCAGAAACTCCTAAATGTATCAACACCCAATAAATTAATTGAATAATAATTTAAACGTATAGCATGATGCGCAACAACTCTTGAATGCTTCAAATATTTAAACTGTTTTGACTTGACTCTGAAGGTGTCTCCCTGCCTGTTTGGTTAGTTACTGGTATCTGGTGTTAGTTAATGCTTTTGCAGTGATGTCATTGACATTTGTTTTTTTTTTAAAGACAGAAACAGTTGTCTGACAAGGGTCACAGAAAATAAAAAATACGAAAAAAACCAGGGAGCTTGCTGTGGACTGAGCCATTAATTTTTTTGTTAAACGAGTTCTCGACGAGGTGTTAGTTTGTGTTGTTTTTTTTTCATCTCCGTTTCGTTTATTTCAAACTTGACACGTTACATAGCGGCTCTGTCTGTTCGTCGGTCATGTTTAGCAGTCGTGGTTCAAACCACGTGGCGTACCGCGCTAACTTTTCAAATTACGGTGACCACATGGCTTGGTTTCGAATGCCAGACTCTTTTTTTTATTCCAAAACAAAAATACCTAACCAGTGGACTATGCAATTTAGCATGCATGCAATATATAAACGAAACATATCCGAACAAAAAGCAGACGTCAAATACCGCCGAGTTTCATTTCTTCATCAATTGCTTTTTTTTTTTAAGGGGACAGCCCATTGAATGGGAACCCTTTTCTGGTGACCAGGAACTTCATCGGTTCCGACAAGGCTCACTTTGTCCCCAGTTCCTTGGTCGATTGTGAATGCAAACCTCCTCCTGACCAAACCCCTGACTTTAACTTTTTATTTCCCTCCACCTATGACCTCTCTCCAGTGCTACATTATTTTCAAATGTTATTGCCCATTGTGTTTTTTTATTATAATTATTCGCAGAGGATACTGCTTAGATTGTGGAAGTAGCATGACCTCACCCCCCCACCGCTCCCCCCCCCCCCCCCCGATCATGAGATCGCACGTTCAAATTCCAGCCAGGGTCGACTCAACCCCATCCCCATCGTAACTCCGGCATCAGTAGAGTGCATACCATTCGGTGAACATCCAATTGGTGAGAAATCAACAATATTTATTGGAGACAACTAGTCCCTGCCATAAGAACGTGGACGTTCACACAACGAGTTCAACAGCAGTGTTGAAAATGAGCAGTCCCCAGTGCCCATTGAATAAATCAGAAACTATATTTTTCGAATTTTCTTGCATAGTTTTCAGATGCATATTTGCGTTTCCCCTACGGTGTCGTTCTGTTATGATGGTATTTTCTCACCATGTACAGATTTGATTCTGGTACAGGGATTCTGCGGTGGTGGTGTGTTTGTCAGTACGTGAACGACAACGTGCTGGAGGCGATCAGTTCGGACTCCCGACGCAGCGGTCGAAACAATGAGCAAGTGTCTTAAATCCCCCCCATCCCTTTGTCTATCACACAATACAAATGGCTACATCACAGTTATCTGACCGGCAGGTTGTGTCCGGTAGGGTAAAGTGTGAGTACTCACGCCACTTCAAACAAATGCCTTGTCAGTATGGAATAAGAGCACCAAAATACTCTCCAGAGGATGCTCTCTGGAGCCCTTTCTCTCTTGTGGATGCCCCTTCCATAGCAGCAATGGCAGAAGCAAGCCACGACGGTCAATGGCGGAGCCACGATTTACAAGTTGGGGGGCAACCCCTCCAGCAATGAGAAATGATAGAGGAGTTGTTAGTAAGTAAGGACTTGTCCCTTGCTTTTTATTCGCCGCGTGTGCGGCGATGGCGCAGCCATCGATCGAGGGTCGAATTCGAACCGCGTTGTGTGATCGGCATCGCGCTCGCTGAAGGTGTTGATGCCTTCAGAGAAGTCGTGTACTGTAGACGCAACTGCGCACAATTCTGTGAGTCACTTGTAACTGCTTTGCCGTTACTTATTGCCAATTATGGACTCAGGCTATTGTCCTATCATCTCGTAGAGTCCCTGGCACGTAATCATATGCTACACAGTGGCAGTGGGGGTCGCAAAATGACGATTTATTACTAATAAACCCCAATGATCCGATCGAAATTAGGGCTTTCGATCGGATCATGGGGGGGAGGCGGGGGGGCACGTGCCACCCCCACTGGCTCCGCCAGTGACGACGGTACACAACTCTAACTGGCATTTTGCTCGCCACCAAAGTGATCTTGTGCAACCGTCACGTGGTCTGCAGGAGGCTGTGTTTTTTCTCTCCCTGTCTCTTGCTTGTCTCCCCGCGGCCTCCTCTCTGCTCGAGATCACACGTTCTATATGAGGAGCCGAACACGGGAAGCAGACTCAACTTGAGAGCAGGTGGCCCCACTTTGTGTGAACAAAAAAAATGTCCATCAGCATCACAAACCATTTCCGTTGCGACGGCCACCCTTTGCCAGTTTTGGTATTCATTTTGTCAGCTTCGGTTTGAGTTCAGTTTTGAAAGG